CCCCCCTCCCCCCCGCGTCCCCCTTGACGCAGTTCTGCGGCCCGTAGCTTCTGTTCTCAGCTCCCTCACTCCGCGTGCTCCTCCACGACCCCGATTGCGATCTCCAGCCATCTCGCCTCGTGTACCCTCCGAACGGCCCGCCCCCGGGTGGCCCACCCACCAGCCGCGCCCACCGGGTCCGGGACCCCCTGGGCTCCCAGCCCTGACGGCCTGTGCTCCCGCCCCGCCAGGTGTGGTTCAAGAACCGACGCGCCAAGTGGCGGAAGCGCGAGCGCAGCCAGCAGGCGGAGCTGTGCAAGGGCGGCTTCGCCGCGCCGCTCGGCGGGCTGGTGCCGCCCTACGAAGAGGTGTACCCCGGCTACTCCTACGGCAACTGGCCGCCCAAAGCGCTCGGCCCGCCGCTCGCCGCCAAGACCTTCCCGTTCGCCTTCAACTCGGTCAACGTGGGGCCCCTGGCTTCGCAGCCCGTCTTCTCGCCACCCAGCTCCATTGCCGCCTCCATGGTGCCCTCGGCCACCGCAGCCCCGGGCACCGTGCCAGGGCCCGGGGCCCTGCAAGGCCTGAGCGGGGGGCCCCCCGGGCTGGCTCCCGCCGCAGTGTCCTCCGGGGCAGTGTCCTGCCCTTACGCCTCTGCCGCCGCAGCTGCTGCTGCAGCCGCCTCCTCCCCCTACGTATACCGGGACCCGTGTAACTCGAGCCTGGCCAGCTTGAGGCTCAAGGCCAAACAGCACGCTTCTTTCAGCTATCCCACCGTACCCGGGCCGCCCCCGGCGGCCAACCTCAGTCCGTGTCAGTACGCCGTGGAGCGGCCCGTATGAGTGGCCCGGCCCGTCCACCATCCCCGAGGACGGGGTCGATCATTCACAGCCTCCCCGGACTGGGGCCGTCTTGACTGGCTCGATTTCGCCCCGGGGTCTGAGAGGGACGCTGGGGCAGCTGGGGGGAGGGAGGCGGCCGGCTCGGGACAGAGCCTTCCAACTTCTAACTCCCCACCTGAGGGGTGGACTGGCCCCTATGCACAGTCCGCGCCCCTGGGACTAAGGCCAGGAACAGGGACCAGTTCCCCGGGGCCAACTCGCCCTTGGCCCACCCCGCCTTCTCCAGACTCCTCCTCTCCCATTTATCATTTTCAAAGATAAATGAAATAAACGTGCGAGGACTGCCAAAGGCCTGATGATTCAGAGTTACGGTTGAGCCCTCTCCCCTCGTCCTCCTCCAGGTCTAAAGGAGAGCTGGATGTTCAGGAAAGAGGTGAGGGGTTCAAGCTTCGACGGCGTCAGGGTCCCTGAGCCGCTAGCACCAGGATGGGGGAAGCCGGGGGCTGCCTGGAGCGGAGCGGCGCGCGCCCGCCCGCCCGCGTGATTGCGCGGTTGGCTCGGGGCGGGCGTTGGCCAAAGCTGGTGCTGTGGCGCCATCTGGTGGCCGCATGGAGGATAACTGGAAGATCTGGTCTGTAACACCTGCAGGTGTCAATTCTGCAACTTAGGAAGCCTACAGCCTTAGATAAGTTACTCCGCCTTTCTGCACCCGTTTCTCACTGTTCCAATGACGGGCGTGGGCCTCTAACAGCAATAAAATTCTGGTCTGTAACAGACATTTATTAAGTGCCTACCAGACCTAGGCTTCTTATTGAGTGTCTGCGTGTGTGCCTCTCATCCTTCCACAGATCCTCTTAGATGTCTCACCTACAGATCATCCCACTGTCGGCAGCCATCTCCCATCCCAGCTGACCCCTTCTTCCCCAGAATTCCCAAAATCCAAAAGTCTTGTTGAAGTATTTAATTAAAAAATAGAGCATGAAGAGAAAGGTTTCTATATAGAAATGTAAATAACTTGGCTCTGGGGAATCCTCCTCAGTCCCAGCCCCATTCCAGAGCCTGCTTGCCTTCACATTAAAAACAGAAACATCAAAGTACCAGATCACATCCCCTTCCCAGGGTTGATGTTTCTTGTCTGTCATAACTTCCTGCCACCTTGGGGTACACATTCTGTGGGGAAACCATGCAGGGAAGGCATCCTAATCATTCTCCCAAACCTAAGCCAAGCCCCTCGGTGCCCTGGGGAGGAGAGAGCCTGGAGCTCCTTCTTTTTCTCCAACCCTTTACTCGCTCTTGGTCTTGGCTTTAACTTTGGGCATGATGTAGGCTTGGTAGAAGAAGTTGGCAAAGAGGATGAAATAGGTCATATACATCATGAGGGACCAGAAGAACTGTTCCACTGTGGTGTTGCATCCCTGTTCCTGTCTCCAGATGAAAGCCAGGATGATGACAGTGACTCCCATAAACATCTGCAGGATCTGCAGGCTGGTGATGAGCCTAGGGTACCACATGGGGGGCTTCACTTTGGCAGCCTTCAGAGTGTAGTAGGTGTACATGAGGGCATGCACTCCATAGTTCATGGTCATGAACCAGCCGCCTGCAGCTATCTTGTTCTTGTATCCAAAGCTTGTGAACACTAGCACTGTGCTGTGGTGGTACCAGTGCACAAAGATGAGTGGCTGCTTACGCAAGATGATGAAGACCGTGTCTCCTGGGAGATGGGAGTCATAGCTGGTATGCCACCCGGGGTTGGGACCACCCTCTGCACTGAATGTGGGGGCAGGGGGAGTTCTCAGGATAGGGAGGGGTCTTTGTGGCAGAGAATCTGGAGAGGGGCTTGGGTAAGAGGTGTTGTTAGGACCCAGGGGTGGGGAAGGGACTCTCCCTGTGATGGGTGAAGGGGTCCCTGAGGAAGGGTGCAATTGACTAGGTGCCAGAGGAACAAAACCTTGCCACTCACCAAGTTCAATGATCTTGCTGAGAAGAAAGAGGCAGGACCAGAATCTGACTACAGGGTTGCGGAAGAAGCTGGAGTAGCACACAGTGTGCTTTAGGCTATACCTTTGTATCAAGTTCCCCATAAGGCCCCATGTTCTCACTGCCCCCAGGATACTGAAATGAGACGGAGAAAAAGGGTATAAGATCATTCGCAGACACCAATCCACCCTTCCCCCTCAGCCTGGTCAGACCACAGTCCCAAGTTGTCACTTTCCCACCCTTCCAGGGGTCATGGCTTCTAAGATCCTGGAGTCAATCTGGTAAATCCAACCAGTAATCTAGAGGAGATGAGGGCTGGGAAAGGACCAGGGAATACTGAAGGATGGGACTGCAAGTTGAGTTAGGGAACAGAGTTCTTGGGATGGAGCCTATGAGGAGATGGGTGGCAGGTTGGGGGACATCGATGGAGGAGGGAGTATGGGAAGGAGGGGCTAGGGAAGTTATTTGAGAGTCTTTGGGAGAGGGCGTTAGAGTCTGGAGAAATTTGTTGGAAGTACACAGACTCCATGAGCATAAGAGGACTCTTGAGAGAGCAGAAACTGCCAGTCTGGAGCCTGGGGAAGGAGAGGGGAAGCTGGGGAGGGGAGCTAGAGCTGAGAGAACTGAATACGGAAAGCTAGGGGGCAACTTGGGGAATTGATGCAATTGAGGTTTCTAGAAAGCTTGTAGGGATAGAGTAAGGGTCTAGGGCATACAAGACACGCGAGAAATATCTTACCTGAAGACTGCAAGGCAGAAGGACCAAAGGATGAGAGGCCTCTGCAGGTTGAAGGCCTTCCGTGCCTTCATGTACTTGTGCCCCGCAAAGATGAACAGCAGGTAGACCAGAGCTATGGGAAATGAGGCTGCCCTGGCAGGCAGAGGCAGAGGCAGAGGGGATGGGCTCGTGGGTGGGTGCTGGTTAGAGACATGCCCACTCATCTCTCCAAGTGCGTGCTCTGGGTTGGAGTTCCAGCTCTGCCACCTACTAGCTTTGTGACACTGGAAAAACTACTTCATTCTTGGAGCCTCAGTTTCCTTATTTATAAAAGGGGAATAATATTCCTCTCCTGACAGTGTTGATATATAATATATATATATATAGTCTAGATGGTGTGGCTCAGTTGGTTGGAGCTCTGTCCAGTACACCAGAAGGTGGCGAGTTCAAACCTGGTTAGGGCACATACCCAGGTTTTAGGTTCGATCCCCAGTCCAGGCACATACAGGAGACAACCAGTTTAATGTTTCTCTCTCACATGGATGTCTCCCTCTGTCTTTCTCTTTCTCAAATGAATAAAAACATATCCTCAGGTGAGGATTAAAAATATATAAAGTACATAGCACATTGCAAGGGCTGTCGAAGGTTTTTGTGATTGTTGCTTTCTCCATGGGGCTGGAAGTGGGTGACAGGTGCTGGTCCATGCCTAGAAGCAACACAGGGCTGTGTTGTAAGAAGAATGTGGCAATAGCTTCCACCTATTTGGGTCATGGCAAATTGGCTGGAGCACAAAATCAGCCCACCAGCACCTGGGAGGAGCCTTAGGGCAAGGCCAGAGAGCCTGGGGAAATCTTGAAGAGCTCCCTGACTTCACCTCCTCCACAGCGGGGACGATGGGACGCTTGGACAACAACGCGAAAATGAAGGGAGGCTGCACCTAGGCACCAGCCCCGTGTGCGGGCGCACATGGCTGCACACGCCACACAGGACAGGCTGTCTATCGGCTGGGACTAGGAGTCCAAATCAGCCCCACTCCTCAGAGGCCGGTTCTCACTACACCCTTTCCCCTTGGTTTCTGTCTCCTCTCAGATTCTTCACCCCATCCTCTTATTTCTGCCTCTGTTCCCCCC